TTATGAATGAGGAAACTTCCCCACTAAGGAATTCAAAAACTTGGCAGGTCTGTGCTGGAGGCAATCTTGTAAAGAAAAAGTTGCATGTAATTCACATCCATACAACTTTTTCTAATGATTGTGCCTTTTCTAAGGAATGTGAAACTTGGCCTGACTCGGTGACTGGAGATTATTGTGAAGAGACCATAGGACATTAACACATTAACATTTGTTTTTTTGCTACCAGAAATACATCACTGGTCCTAAATGTGAGTTTCTAGAGAATGTAAAGTGGTATTTCATAGGTCACTAAGCTTAGTCAAGGTTCTGGTAGAAGGCCTGAGTTGTAAAATATCCAGTGAGGATTAAGTTTGTGATTCCAAGTATATTTGTTACAGATGAGGAGAAGAACCATTATCTGAAGTGGGCAGATGTAAAAGAACTTAAAATTAAACTAAAATAAATATAAATTTTATTTTAAAAGTGAAAATTATTTTATTTTAAAAGTGAAAATTATTTTATTTTAAAAGTGAAATTTAAAAATTAAAAACTTCTGTCCATATGTGATGAAAACACTTGGTATCAGGCTTACAATCATAAAAGTACATTTATTTGTGCCATCCTCACATTCGTTACTGCATTTTCCTTGGGATTATTCTTTCAGACACTTACCAAAAAGCACCAATCAAATGTGCGTAGATTCACTGCCACTTTCGCTTTTCTGTTGTACCCTCCATCTTTTTTTTTTTTAAAAAAAGAGACTCCAAATTTTGACTGCACAAAAAATACTCATTTTTGCTATTTTTGTTTAACTCCTCAAAATTAATATTGAGGACGAAAACCATATTCAATCTGAAAAATGATCCTTCAGTTAAATAACCTGAACAATAAGTTTGCAGAATCAAATTATTGTCAGCAAGAGTTTTACACTGTTGTAATTTCTTGAAGTATTTTTTTACTATTTTTTTTAGGAGTCTTCCCACCAACTTGTGTTTATCAAAGTTTAAAAAATCATGACATGTGAAATACAGTCATAGAATGTAACAAACAAAATTTAATAAAAACAACAATAATGTTATATTCTGCTTCAAATTAGATCTCTTTCTGTGCAGGAGCACTGAGCATCACATCCAGCTCACAAAAAATCTCCTCAAAAAATATAAAACAATATAAAAGAAGTCAATCACAAAGAAAAAAATATGAAGAAAAAATGATGTCAATATCCATCACATTTGCTTTAAAGAATGATACTCATAACACTGGAACAGAATTGCAGTGAACAGACAAGTTGTCAATATCGACACTAGTGACCTTGGGCAAGTCAACCTACCCAATGTCACCACCTGTTACCTACCCAACACACACATCAACTCCAGGTCCTACCAACTCTACCTGTCCTCCAAGTTTCTTATCTTACCCACAAAGAGACATTCCATTCATATCATCTAATACATACTGACCTTACAGGTCATGCGGCTTTCTTTTCCCTCCTTGGTTGGGGCTTGTGCATCATCTCAATAGGGCTGATTCAGGGTTGCCAAAATATTACAATATTGGGATTGACAGCAAAGTCTACTGTGGACCCCTCTGTGTACCACAGACATAGTTGTGTAATTCCTTTCTGTAGCCATGGTAACTTTTGTCACTTTGCATCCAAGGGCAACTTCTGAATCAGGGCTGGAATAAGAACTCCTTCAAATAAAATGCATAACACTGTTGATAACTCTAACAACAGGTTATATAAAGAAAAACTGGTTGAATAAATTGTCTCTATTATCTACAGTAAAATCAAGTTCTCTACAGCAGAATGGTGATTTGGCAATACAAAGAATTTTGTATTAACAACTCTTGTCTTCTTTCTTTTTGCCTCACAGGCAGTTTATTGATGTTTTTGTTTGTTTTTTTATCCAACCAGAATTGGAACATAATGGTGTCAGCATGCAGCAGGAGAACTAATGAAATGGAGTACCCTGGTCTCACCTGCACAGAAATTCTCAACATCAACAAGCAATAGTAGACAGCAATCATAAAGTAATAACCAACCAGTTGACTCTCCCTCAATTCTTCAAAGTAATTATCAGCTTGTATATCATCACTCAATTTTTATATCATGCAGGTGTCTATGTTTTTATTCTAACTACAGGAATTGCAGGTGTGCTCTTTATTGATGACTATCTTATGAACAATCTCAGGCAGCTCAAAGCTGACTCCTCCTGTGTCTGTCTCCATCTGACTCCATTTCCTTCAGCCACAGGAAATATGACTGGAATGAATCTCTGGTGATCTTCCTTGTTGGGGCAATTTTTCCATCTGTCTCTGTGGGGCTCTTGTTTATATAGATAATTCCTCCCTCCAATTTGACATTGATATATCTCCACCCCAATCGTCTTATAGTTAATTAGCGAGATCTATTAAAATTATGTTAGGATTTCTCTAGATATCAGTGACAACTTTGCTACAATCTCCCAAAAGCACCAACACCAATTTTATTTGGAACCCAGCATCTCCGTCTTAATGATCAGGGATAGTCAAAACACACCTAAACTGATCGTACCTTACTCTGTGACAGATATTTCTATGAAGCTCATGATTGTACAAACCAATCTGGTATCACTTGTATGCACAAACATCTTTTCAGTTACTGGTGTGAATTCAAGAACTGAAACAAAGTTTTTATGTTGATTTTTGCACCATCTGCACAAAATGCAAGCGAAATGAAAATGGCGAAACTGACTGGGTTCATCATGCCCATGTTCTTCAACTTGTACTGCAACCAAATCATCTGCAATATACAAAGTGTCCCTCTCCTCTGAGTTTACAGAATCCTCAACCAGCATTGAAGTTGCCACATCCACTTCTTTTGGGGGAGAATATAAAGATACAAGACTGTAGATCTGGTGAAACCACTTAAAGACTGCCCAAAACTAATACAAAACAAATTCCAAAAGACAAACATGTGGACAACTCCCAATGCACTTTTTGAAGCTTCATCATGCACTAATATCAACAGTGCAAACACACCAAATCAATATAGGAAATAAATCCTATTTCCAGTACAATTATATAGACACCTACATACCATATTAAAATATGCCAATACTTTATTTTCTACCTAATAACAGACAATATTACAAACACACGAAAAAGATTTCACAATACAACACACCATTTAGATCAAAGTGTCTATTGCTTAGAAATTAACATCACTATGTGAAATATTTGACCAATCAAAGAAAACTAAAACACTATTTTTCTAAAGCTTACTTTCAGGAAAAATTTATCATAAAAACTCACATATTTCAACTTTCAACAAGCAGAGATGCAACTGTCCCAACTCTCTCCAGTGCATGCTGAAAGAAACATGTCACTGACTTCAAGCAAAATGTCTTCAACAACAGCATGGACAACCAGTCAGCAACTTCAAATGAATCATCTCCAACAACAAGGATGGTCAGTGAATCTTTGCTAATGATAAAAGATATTTTTCAACTACACATTTTTTTCTGTGAACCAATTATTTAAAAGTCTTTTCTAAAAGATAGAATTATTCTGTGGACCAACTACCCAAAGACTTTAACTCAACTAAAGACTATATTTTAATACTTTTTATCTCTTTTGAATTCATGTACATATGTTTGTAAGTATAAATGATTTATTTAACAGTCATACACATGTTTTTTATTTTTATTTTATTATTGCTTGAAATTTGGACATTTGGATTTTTAATATAAAAAATACCTGAACGACTCAATTTCCTACATCAACATAAGTACATACATCCTTTCTGCTCATATCCACCTACTACCTATGAATCAGATTGAGATCTGGGGGAGGTGTTAAACTCTGCTTCAAATTAGGTCTCTTTCTGTTTCACTCTACATGTTAGTTGCATGTGAAAGCTAAGAAAACAAAAATAAAAATGCAGAGGCTCCAAATATCACATCCTGTCCACAAAACAAATCTTCTTAAAGAAATATAAAATACAATATAAAAGTAGCCAAATCATGAATGTTGCTGTGAAAGAACCCCCCCAAAAAAACATGATGAATCATGATCCACTACCTTTGCTTTTAAGAATGCCGCTCATAATACTAGAATGGAATCAATGTGAATGGGCAAGCTGTCAACATTATCACCAGTGACTTTTGTCAACCAACCCAATACATGCATCAACCAGGCTCTACCAACTCTATCTTTCCTGCAAGTTGCTTTCCTAGCACACAAAAAGACATTCCACTCACATTCTCTGTCTCAGTATGACAAAGAATTTTATTCTTGTTTTCTTTTCTTTTTGTCTCACCGGCAGTATTTATTGTTTCATTTATTCTATTTTGCTATCATATGCGCATTTATAACAATAAGATGAAAGATTATCTGCATCTAAATTATTTTTATAAATAGTTTTTGCTAATCAATTCTACACATTATAGTAAAATGATAATTTGAAGTGAATTACGATAAAAACTAAAGTGTTCAATTGTTACGCACTTTGTTTTATTTTTAAACCGGACAATATTATAATTAAGTTTTTATTTTTGTTTCACAGTCATTAGTTGAGGAAGAAGCCCTTAATTAAAGTTTAATTAATTTTCTTTATCACTATAAACTTCTACATTCAGTACAATTTATGAAATAAATGTGTAGAAAATGAGTTTTTCAGTGTTTAGGAAAAAAGATGAGTGGTCAAGATCCTCTTAAATTAAATATTGAGAATTACAAAGGTGAATATTGCGATTTGTGATCAGAACATTTGTCATAAAATCCTCAGCTTTTTTTATATCATGAGCAAGTAGTATACGATTTAATGCAAGTTTTTTCATCACCACTAATGAATAAATAATTTTTTAAAAAATGGGTATTCCAATAAAGATCCTGTAAAATACTGGTTGTAAATCTGCTACTTGCTACAGCGATATAAAAATCTTCACATTATTTGGAATGACGTTATTTTTGTAGACGTGTCTTCAAGTCGGTTTTTACTTCACAACACACACACACACAAAAAAAAAAAAAAAATTAAGTTTTTTTTTCTCCTGCTTCTGGAATTGGCAAGTATCCCATATAATTTGATGACAATAATTCATTTTAATAAAGAATCCTTTCAGAAAATTTGATTCACTTTAAGAAAATTTTAAAATAAATTAATAACTTTTATTGTTTTTGTCGATAGTATTATTGAAAATTTTCTGAAAAAAATACTTTACTACATAAATAAGTAAAAATTAAAATTTGATGAATAAATAGTAAATTCTAAGAAATTTCTAAAAATAACTTTTCATTTAATAATTTTTTCAATTTTAATCATATTCTGTAGCAGACAGTAAAAATATTTTTGTAAATAACTAGACTTTGTAAAAAAAAACTAAACAAAAAAAGAAAACAAAAAAAAAAACGAATCCTTTTTAACAATTTAATTGACAACACTAACACCAAAATTAGGACTAATAATTTATTTGTTTTGTATTTTATAAGATTTAAAATCAGATTTTAAGATTTTTAACACATTTTTTAGTTAACTTAAAAAAGAAATGTTTTTAAAAATCTTTTTAAAAAAACAGATGAATGAAGAAATTTTTCTGAAAATTCGACGAAAAATGATTTGAGTGAATTTTGTTTTTAAAAATCGAAAAAAATTTTTTTTCATAGATTTCGTTTATAATTTGTCACAAGAACCACCCACTCAAAAATATTGATTTTTTTTTTGTCAATAGTTGATTCTAACCCATTCATTTTAAAACTCGAGTGTAGTTTTTTTTTTGTAAAGATTGAGACATTTTATTTGCTGATCTTGTTGTTTGTTAATAAATCTCTTTCCTAAAAAATAAAAATAAATTGTTAATTGATTTTCAATCATTTTTGCTATTGATTTGACAATTAAGAAAAATGGATTTTAAAAGATTCTGTCTTGACATATTCAGATTTACTGAAGAATATATATATCTTATAGACAGTTTTTTGGTAAATGAAAATATTTTTCAAAAAAATAAATGGAAAAAGTTTTTTGTGTTGAAAACTACTCTAAATTAAGCAAAAAACAGATTTTTGCAATTCACAGTTGTCACCTTGTTTGAAGCTTTACAAATTATTTAATTAATTTGTCTTGACAAAATTTTATAATTTTTTTTATTTAATAATTAATGTCCATTATTTTGAGAAAAATTTAAAAACTTATCAAATTACTTACTTAATTATTATTCTTTTAAATTAAAATTAAAAAAAAATTAATTGAAATTCTACTTCCACTAAATTTTATTGTAATATAGAATCAATCGTACTTACTCGTCAGTAACTTTTGAAAACATTCTAAAAATGTTTTTAAAATATTTTCCATAATAATTTCGACTTAAAAACTTGCCAATAATTTTTAGGGAGTAAATAATTATCTTGCACTTGAAATTAAAAAAAGGAAATAAACAAACTTAAAAAGTTCCATTAATAATTAATTAAAAAAAATACTATCGTTTATAATTTGGAATACAGTACTTTTATAAATTTTGTTTTTTTTTGTTCCACGATCTTTTGACACATTTTTCTTCAGGTGATTTCATAATTCTGTCCACCCAGAAATTCTCTTTTTTAAATTCTTTTTCCCAGCTCTGGGTTACTCTTCTTGCAGTTTGGATTTTTTTTTTTTTAAATTAAGACAAAAGTTTCTATAAAGATTGGAAATATCAAGTAGACGTTAAGCTGTAACTTTTTTTTTGTCTGGTTGTTTTTTTTGTTTTAAATTTCCTTGATGAAATATTAACTAATTCCGGGCGCTTTTTGTTGATTGTTAGTGTTTTCAGTCGGTAGTTACTAAGAACCAAAATGATTGATTCGAGCAAGTGCATGCTGTTTTTTGTTTTTTTTTGCTGCAAGTAGAGGTTCTTGATTATTCTGATATCTTTCCCGAATATGTCAAGGTTGCTGAGCAGTTCCAGCAGATCCTTGTGGCGCACTTTGTCAAAAGCCTTTGCATAGTCTATGAAACATAGGTGCACGTCCTTATGCATTTGCATTGCTCTTTCTGAGCATGAATATCGCGTTCCTTGTTCCGGTGTCTTTAATGAACCTGCACTGTTCTTGTCCTATCTCTGGCCTGAATCTGCTGCATGCTCTATTCATCAGTATATGGATGATGAGTTTTGTCCAGTGGCTCATTGTTCAGTGGAGTTTCAGTTTGTTTCTTAGCCATAGCTATGAAGATAGATTTGCTGAGGACTTCCAGTATGTTCCCGCTATTATAAATTCGTTTTAGAATATGTCGAAGGCAAATGTATGGGCTGACATGCTCAGCAGAGGTTTGGATATAAAAAAGATAAAGTTAAAAGTACTCTACACCGGCAGGCAGGACATTCGAGTAAGTGGTTCAGACCTCGTGTATACATCCCATCTTGGTGCCTAGGCGAGTTTAACGGTTTACAGCTCATTCCCAAAACTCACACACACGGGGCACACACTTCACTGGAGAAGTCTATCGACAATTCTGTAACCAGATGTCAATCACGTTTTATTCTATTTTTTTTTTCAGTGGCTGCAAAGCTCAGATCAAATATCGAGACACAACATCACGGCGATAAAGACTTTTTTAGTTTATATGTTATGTCGAAAGGAACTGTGAATGGACAGATGTTCTACTTTCCTGTCGTTTTTTTTATGAATGCCCCTTCAGTCTAACAGCATCACCGTCTGTCTTCTAATAGATGCCATTACCGGAGATATCACCCCAACATCATGGTCAGACTGCAGAAAAGAAATTTAATTTAGCGGCTCCTGAAGCATATTTATCGTGCAAATTAATGCCCTGCTAAAGCAGGTTCACCACCACGTCACCCTGGCCAATGATGAAGGTGACCACAAACTTGAGATTAACTTAAATCGCCTTAACAAGGGACCCAATACATTTAGGTGACAAGGTTTTATTCACCGGAAGTTTACTGTTGCCCAATCCTCTCATCTGCCCTGGATAAGAAATTACACCATTATAAAATGAACAATATGATGTTTTTTTTTTAATTAAGACAAAAGTTTTATAAAGATTGGAAATATCAAGTAGACGTTAAATAAAATTTTTTTTTTTGTCTGGTTGGTTTTTTTGTTTTAAATTTCCTGACGTCCAACACATTTTTTTGTCTGGTTGTTTTTTTTGTTTTAAATTTCCTCCACGTCCAACACATCTATCTAAAATATTTTTGCCTCCACCATGTAACAGTCACCAGGATCATTCTCCTCCACATCCCTCTGGGACAAGATAATTCAGCAAATAATTCATTTAAAACAAATGCCAATAAGAACACGAGGACAACTTCCCATATGACTTTTTTATTTGATCATGAATTTTCACCCAAATATACACGAATAACGAATTGTAATTTTAAAATATTTTGGGAGCATATTGTTATAAAATAAAATAAGACATATCTCGGCTGATTTGCAGGCAAATAAACTAACATACTCAAGAGCGAGAGCCGGATGAACGGGACAAGGCCCCGTCACAAAATGACCATTATTGTCGTTTACGCATAGTCCCGACGCACGAGTTCCGGTCGAAAAATAAAATAATATTTTAAAGTGTTTCTATTTTTCGACCAATAAAATGCTTCCCTCCTAATTATACTCAGTCGTTTTACGAACCTGTTAAGCCATAAAAAAAAACATAAAAGGGGTCACACGGGAAGTACAAGAGCAGTCAACAGGAGGCCAGGGAAGAGACCTGTCACGGTCAGTCAGGGCAGTCAGCAGGAGGAGCGCCACGCCATCCAACCAGCGAGAACTACTATGAGAAATCAACCCAGACCGGGAGCCGGATTATGAACTATACCACAAGGTAGCTGTCCCAAACCCACACGTTCCTATTGAAATAAATCACATAAATGTATTTCTGCTGCTGTTGTATTTCCTTCTTGCAACCATATGCTTGTCTATAACACCGTTGTTGTAGATTTCATTTGTTATTTCAGTGGTCTTGTCTATGCTAAAGTCATCTAAGTTCTCAGCATTTCTGTTACAATTCCGTCTGGTGTAGCTGCCTGTTCAGTTTGGCTAGTGTGGCTTTTAAGAGAATCAATTGTTTTGGACTTTGGTTTTCTGGAAGAAGCTGATGGTATTTCATGTTAGTTATCCATAAAAAACTTCATAATTGTTTTGCTTTTTCCTTTGAGACGCATTTTTACCTTTCTAAAAAACAAACATGCTGAGTGAAAAAAATTATTGTTGATCATTTCTTTTCATTTTCAGTTTTAGAATCAGTAGTAAACAAAAAATACGCAAGTGCTGACGACAGAGCCGTTGAAATGCAATCAAAAACGAATTTTCCTTTATTTTTTCTATTTTTGTTACTTTTTAAAATGAAATGCTATAAAGCAATCAAACAATGAAATTTTCAGTCAATCCAATTTTGTTGTACATGTTATTACTTTGTTCATTTAGAATTTTTTGTGGGTTTGTAAAACAAATGTTTTTCACAAATCAAATTTCCCAGATTTTCTTTTTAATTAAAAAAACTAATTTTAGTGAAAAAGCAACTTCAGTTTATTTCACTCTCTATTATGACAAATAGAAATTTTCTTATGAATCTTCATTTAGTTTTCTAATTCGTTTTTACTTTGTTGATAAACCTGTAGTACTGTTTCAGTTAGTTACCCTGCAAGCTGATTCTATTATTGGTCATAACAAAAACAAGAGAAACTGAGTTTTCAGGACAATGATAATTATTATGGGGTCATTATATTCTACAGTATTTCATATAAAAATAAACATTAGTTTAGATTTACTCAATAGTAAAGCCAGGGTTTGTTATACACTGATTTGATTGTTATAGTCCCATCAATTCAACTTCCATTCAACTAGATCCTTCATTGTGTGCCTGTTATCAGAAATTTTAACTTTCCAAGATTTATTGTTCCAAAATATAACAAGCATTTCAAGGTCAAATGTAAACATTGTAAGAAACAAGATGCAAACAACAGAATAAATCAATGTATAATAATTATTCATCATCTCAGTAATTAGAATGTATTTTAAAAATATTTTGTTTAAAAATTTTATTTACATCAGTTAGATTCCAACTGTGTTTTATGATTGGTTATCTAGACAAGTCACCTGTCTAGATAACCAATCATAAATCATAAAGTTCCTCATAGTTGATAAAAAAAAGTTATCCTATACTAATTTATTGTTGTTTGCTTATAATCCTTATAATGTTCTTTTCACTTTTTTTGTTTGTTACTGTTTTCTTTTCATCTCCTTTCCTACTGGAAATGGTCATGTTATTTTGTAGAATTTTTTAAAGCTTGATATTAAAAGTTAACGCAAAATTCTGTCAAGTCCAGATTGAGTAATATGAGTGACCATAACTGTCAGTCACTAAATCAGTTTTGCTATATTGCTTGGCATGAGATTTCTAAGTTTATTTTCATGCTTTGAAAATTTTGAAAATTCATTTTTTATATTACTAGTTTTAGTTTATAAAAATATCTGATATTCCTCATGTGGCCTGCAATATGGAATTTTGTGAAAAGGATTTGCTTATTTTCAATTGTTATATATTTTTGTCACCGAATAAAGATCTATGTATGTGATATTTAAAAACTATATGTCCATTCATTTCAACAGGCATTTAATTTTTTTCCATTGGAATGTCAGACTCTGAAGATGAAGCTGCATTCACAAGTGCAGATGAGGAAGTGGAAACAAGTCAGTTTGTTGCAAGTGATAAAAAACCAGCAGCCAAGATATCTACTGCTTTCATAGATAATAAAAAATTGTCACTAAAAGAAATTGATGAAAAGGAAACAATGTCGATCAATAATTTGAATAAAAGTAAGAAGAAAAAGAACAAACGATCAAAATCCAAAGAGGAAGAATCAGCTGAAAAATTGTCCTTTGAAAGTTCTGATAGTGTTGTTTCAACAGAAACCTCTTCCATTCAGATAGATAACATGCTTTCCTCAAAGCCAGATCTTGAAGAAATTCACATTACTGATGAAAGTGATGACAGCAATCGGACTAGCAGAAATAATTTGTTCTGTGAAAGCAACAGTGCAAAAGAATTCAATGAGGAAAATGAAAAGAGAACAGACAAAAAAGAAGAAGTTAAGCAATCTCAAGATATAACATGTCCTCATCCACAAATATGTGATGAAAAATTTGAAAAGGTAAGAATCTGTTTTTAGTTTAATTACTGAAGTGATTTTCTTTGAACTGTAGATATTTAAAAGAAAGGAAAATAGAATAAGAAATCAAACTTTTAATGAGAAAATTCAATTATGCACAAATCATGTTTTTTACAACTGAGTTGGATCACTGGATCTAACCAATTTAGGAGTCAAAATGTTAAAGAGATCCATTGGATTTATAAATATTGGGATATTAGCTTCTTTGAGATGAATGATTATGATGAAATTTTCCATTTTATTTGTGAAATTTTTAATGCTTATTTTCTGTGATCTTGAAAAAAATTGTTGATTTTTAAATAATTTTAATATTTGGGAAATGTTTAGTGAATTAGAGTTTATTTTATTTTTTATTGTGGGTTGAATTGATATCAGACTTAGTATTGAGTATTTTTATTTGTTTATTTCCCCAGCAAGCACAACAGTCTGGTTGGGGTTGGACAAAGTGGAGTTCCTCAATTATTGGAGCTGCAGCTTCCTCAGTTTCAACTTTCACATCACAATTAGGTAAGTCCAATATCAGTAGTAAATTTCCTTCTTATTTGAACAAAATATTGTTGTATTTATCTTTCCATTTTATTTTGCTGCAATACTGTTTCAGGTGTCTTTTTAATAACTGAGCTGCCAATATATAAACTTTAATTTTCTAGATGTTATAACTTCTAAATAGTTTCATAAACTGAAATTATATCAATATGACAAACTCATATTTATTTTAATTGTTTTATTGTTATAATGCTGATTATAAAAATTTTTTTTTTTTATATGGTTGTGTTTAAATATGTGGTAATTTGGTTTTTACAATAAATAGTAAAATAGTGAAGGTATTTCTTAAAGAATATTTTTTATTTACAGACAAAAAGATAGCTATTCTAGTTTGTTTAAAGAATTTGCAATATGTTTATTTCAAGCTATGTAAATGATGCTAAAATATGTCAGGAGTAAAAATTATTCAAGATGGTTTGTGGGCAAGTTATAAAGGTTGCTTTGTCCGAGGAGGGCCCCATAATTTCATTAGCCTAGGAGGCCCCAAAAGGTCAAAATCCACCCCTGCATACAGAGCATATTAACTGTTTGATATTTTCTTTTAAATCTTTTCTTCCTTTAGTTTACACTGTCTGAAGAAATAATAAACCACTCTACATTAGCATCTTCTAATTTCTGTCTGGCTCTTACACCTGACATCTGCAGCTGGAGCCTCAACCTATGGGAATGGATAAGGAATCTTGATTCTCTGTTAGCCTTAGGTTAGTCTTTTAGTTGCTAAGCAATTCTGGTTATTTGAGTTTAATACCGGTGAGATATCTTGGAGATTTTACTTTGAATAAAATATTCTAAATTATCTAACAAAACCAAAAAATAAATAAATAAGCATTTTATATTCACTATTCTTAAGATCAATGATGCAAAACAATTGTTTGATGGAATTTCTTTATTCTATTTTTCTATTAATTAACAGCTTTTCATGTGTTAATTGTTTTAATTAACAACTTTCAAGTTCAGTGAGATTTAATTTCTATTAATCCCAACAATTGCTTCTATTAGTTCTATTGTTATTAATTCAGTAGCAAATAGAAAAGGTTTTATGTTCACTATTCTAAAATCACAAGGATTTAAAAAGAAATTGTTATGGCTATTTTTAGTGATATTTTATAATATATATGGGTAAAGATCTAAAAGTTGTTTCTGCTTCAGGTAATACCATGACAGAATTATTTATTTATTATTATTGTAATTATGATGATGATGTTATTGATCAGCACTTCTGCCTAAGATCAGAGTGTAAAGTGCATCACACACACATGTTTTTGTTGAATTCAATCAAAAATATCTGTCTGTTTAATTTTTATTGTATTTCTCCTATTTTGAAATAAGGGGTACATTGGTATCAGAATTGTGGGTAAATTGTCTGAAGTTCATGTTTTGTTCTGTTTTTTGTTCAAGTTCTTTCAGCCATCTCATTCATTATCAAGAACTGGATGTTGTCAGTGAGGTATACAAGATTTTGTTGGCTACATCTTGCCATTTTTTTTTTTTTGTGAAACACTGGGATTTAAATTAATTCAAAGTGACATCATGTGTAAAACGGTTACATGGAGCTAGATCACAAAATTAGATAAAGATACTTTATTTAATGATGTCGCTTGTTTCTTTTGTATAATAATGACTTCTTGGAATTTGTCTTTTTTTTTTTTTCAGTGAGTGTTGTGTGTATATGTATATATATAACTTTATGTTGAAGTTTACTTCTGTATCACATTGAAACCTTAATTCCCATACAATCAGCAAAGTAAAGTAAAGCAACATTGAGGCTGGTCAGTACCCTGATAGTTGACTGGTTGAGAATACCAGGGTGTATTGGATAATGGTTCAGAATTGTTAATCAGAGAGCCAAGTTCCAATTCTAGTTGGGTTTGTTAGATTCACTTATGTGCAAATACCTTTGGGAAAGGTATGAATCTGCCTCTTCTCTCTCAGATATGGGTTAAATAATAAAACTTACATCATTAAAGCATTATTATCTCAAAAATATTTTACAATTTCAAAATATTTTATGGCTTTAAATAACCTACAAAGGGTTGATAATCTGTAGAAAACAAATCAATCAATCAACGTTTTATATTTGGATTATTAACATTCATTAAATAATTTGTCTGTTTATTTTGGATTTGAATAAAGTTTTGTGAATCAAGATATAATGAATCACTTACTTGTCTTATATAAAAGAATTTTTGTTTTTTGTGTGTCTTACTGGCAAAAAAAATACTTGAAAACTAAACTTTTTTTAAAAAAGTTTATTGAGACACACTATATCAAGTACACTATTTTTTTAAATAGGTATTTTGAAGTTACAAAATTAGTTTACACTTTTTGTAATTGTTAATAAAAATAAAAACAAAAGCCTGTTCTTTATCCCACACCATAACAGGTTGTTCTGCTTAGTTATTTGTGATATTTGCATGCTTTTTACAATTTTTTACATTTTATAGATAGTTATATGAAAAGTGAATCAGATATCAAAAAATCAGCTAACAAATTTGAATTCAAGAGACAGCATATATTTGCTAGTAAAAGTAATTGAAGTAAAATGACAAACCATTTTTTGCTAAATAGGAAACAAAGAAGGAAAATACTTTAAAAAAAAAAAAAAAATTGGAGGTTAAAATGTCTTTTGTGTGTGTGTGTGTGTGTGTGTGAGAGAGAGAGAGGTTGGCTAACATTTTTAATACTTTGTTGTCTTTTCTTTAGAATTTCTGTGACCAGAACAAGAGAGCAGGCTCAATATGAGTGCCCTGTAAGCCAGCAGGCCAATGCTCCCCCTTGCTCCTGCTGCCGCTGCTGCAGTTTCCCCAGCTGCTGTAGTGAAGAAATTCCCACCTGCTGATGGGAGTGATAACGCCAAAACTGTCTTACCCCTTCATCCAATTGTTACTTCTCAACCTTTCCAAGGAGGTATAAGTCTTACAATTTCCAATGGTGAGTTTAAAATCATTTTTCTGTTTATTTCCTACACTGATTCTATTTAGACAAGCTAGTCCTCAACTTTGAACACTTACAAAACTGGATTTAATACTGAAAATTTGAGTTCAATCCATTATACATAAAAGTGGCTGAACTTGATACTAATTTAAACTTAACAATAAAAATACTATTGTTATGATAAAAAAAAGTTTTATTTGACTCTTAAACATTTAAGAGAAATTTATTACTGGCAACTAATATCTAAAACAGATTTTAAAAATGAATGTGGCTTACATCAAATTATTAGCATATCATTTTAGTCTAAATATAATGTTGATGGTATGTTTATTTTGAATATTCTATACTTAAAATAAACATACTCGAGCTTGTATTGTTCAGTATTAGTAACAATAAACTAACATCTATGTCCGTGGTTATGGAATTGGAAAAAAAACATATACCTTTCTTTTACTCAGTAAAATTACATACATCAGCTTTATTGTTTTCAATAAAAGAGAAGCAGTTTTCTCTTTTACTTTTTTTTTTTGTTTATTTGTTTGACTTTTTTCAATCTTTTCTTTTTTTGCTATTTCCTTCCATTTTCTCTTTTCACTCTGTCATTTTTTTCCATTCTTCCCATTTCTTTTCTCCTTCCTTCCCATTCTTTTCTCCTTTCTTCCCATTTCTTTTCTCCTTTCTTCCCATTTCTTTTGCCCTTTCTTTCCATTTCTTTTGCCCTTTCTTTCCATTTCTTTTCCCCTTTCTTCCCATTTCTTTTCTTCCTTCCCAATTCTTTTCTCCTTTCTTCCCAATTCTTTTCTCCATTCTTCCCATTTCTTTTCTCCTTTCTTCCCATTTCTTTTCTCCTTTCTTCCCATTTCTTTTCTCCATTTTCCCAATTCTTTTCTCCTTTCTTCCCAATTCTTTTCTCCTTTCTTCCCATTTCTTTTCCTCTTTCTTCCCATTTCTTTTCCTCTTTCTTCCCATTTCTTTTCCTCTTTCTTCCCATTTCTTTTCTCCATTCTTCCCATCTACTTTCCTCTTTTCTTTTTTTTTTCCTTTTTTATTGAAGCATAAAGGAGAAAAACCTATTGTAGGAAAAACACTTTGGAATCCAAATATTTTTCTTAGTAATTCTATTTGTAGTTGTTTGTTTATTCTTTTTTGAAAATTTACAAATCTGACATAGAAATATTTCATCTCGTATATAAATAGTATTTTCTCTCTGTTTGTGTGTATAGGAAGTTTGAAGTGATATAATCATTATCAACTTAAAAATTGAACTTTGCCTTAACCAGAATTCCAACTATGACACTAATGCCCATGGAGAGATCTGAGTTCAACTCTTCTGACAATCTCTGTCCTTGCTAGTCATCTTCAGTATAAATGTTATCATTGGTAGACAGTTCACAATCAAGTCAGGGATTGTACTCTGCAATCCAGTACTGCCTACTGAATAAGCCTCTGGATTTGCCTAATGGCCTCCTCTAATCACAAGATGACACTGCCAACTAATAAGATTGTAAATCAAATAACTAGAATAGTTGCAATTTTTTTTAGAAGTCTATCAAGTTTTTCAGTTAAACTTATTAATGTTTGGAAATGTCTTTTGCACAGCTCCAGACTAACTTTTTCACTATCGTTCTAGAACTGTCCTGAATTACAACATTGTTTTTTTGAAAAAGTTTTTAAATAATTAAAATATTTAGGAAATTGATCTGTCCAATCTTGAATCGTTTATTTGTTTTTAATGCAAGTAATACAGGTTGTAACAAAAATTAAAACTGATAAACTATTAATTACAACCTGTGCCAATCTTTGAAAGGATTTGTCAGATACTAACAAATGGTTTGCCAATATAAGTGATAAAAAATAGAGCAACTTTTTATTAAGTTTGATATTATAGACTTTTATTCCTCTATCTTCAGAGACCTCTTAGTGGATTGTATCAACTTTGCAAAAAACCATATGGAGAAAACAAATGATAAGATTAATATCATCTTAACTGCTAGAAAATCACTGTTAGCACTTAATGATTCTACCTGGATTAAGTGCCAGAATGATGATTTGGATGTTCCTATGGGAGCATACGATTCAGCCCAGGTTGCTGATCTAGTTTGTTTCTATATTTTAGATATACTTAGTAGAATTGTAGATCCTAAACTAGTAGACTTATATAGAGATGATGGACTCATTTTTGTTCCCAATAGCAATGGTCCACTTACTGTGAAGTTACAGAAGAAAATAATTAGAGCCTTTAAGTTACTGGGGTTTAGGATTGAGATTGCTTCTAACCTCAAAATAGTAGGTTATCTAGATATCACCCTTAACCATAATAATAATACCTTTAAACCTTACCATAAAAGAGCATGAAACTCCCAACTATATTAATGTTGATTCTAACTACCCCTATGCCATTGTGAAACAGATACCCATTACTGTCAGCACTAGAATTAATAAACTTTTGTCTAACAGATATCTTTAATAAAAATAAAGAATTGTGTGAAAATGCTCTCTATAAAAGTGGCTTTAAAAATAAACTATCCTACTTAAACCCCATAAATAACACTGAAGTATCTAAAATGGGTTGTAAGCACAGAAATAGAAAAATAAAATTATATAGTTCACCCCCCCTTTCTGTAAATTATCCAATACTAATATCAGACAGCATTTTCTGAAGTTAATAAATAAACATTTTCACAAAAAAACCTCTAAGTAAGATCTTCAATATGAAAATAATCAAAATAAGCTATTCCTGCACCAATAACATGTATAAAATTATCAATTCTCATAATAACTACATTTTAAAATAAATTCTATGGGACTAATAATAAACCTGGTATGGACCCCCCCCCCCCGTAATTGTAGAAATAGTGAAATTATCCAGTTGAAGGAAAATCCAGAGTTTCAAAAAGTAATATACCAAGCAACTATTTACCCCATAGAAAATACATTAAATCACAATGTTTACATTGTAATTTCCACAGGAATGGAAACAAAGACTTTACACCTAGGCACTCTTTTTCCAACCCCAAATTAAAATATCAGAGAGCTCTTTCCAAAAATTTTGGGAATTGAGGAAAAAGGTCTGAACCCTCAGATTGACTGGAAAATTATAAGTTTTGCTCATACTCTTAATAATCTTAAGAGTAGGTGTGACCTATGTTTAGAAGAGAAAAT